TCCTGCGACAAACAAGAGGCCTCAAAACGTAGAAGCAAGAGCGAGAAAATTATAAGTTTCTTCAACTCGTATTATTGATTTTGCATGATATTGTGCAGTATGTAGCAATTGTTTAGGTCCATATTGCTCCAGACAGAGTTGTTTGAATAATTTAAGCACAGCAATTACTCTCGTGTTACGGCCGATGGCATATAAAAGTTTCTTCGTTAGCCTGTCCACTATCCTGCGAAGCTGGCCTTTCATATGAGATGAGTTTCGGTGTGCGTCGTCATCAGATAATCATTTATGATTAAGCGGAAGACCGGCATATTTGAATCCAAAATGCATCAAACACCCAGGTTTTTCAGAAGAAAAGCCATACATATTGGGCGAAGTGCCAAAAGAACCTTCCTGTAGTGCTTACAGAGCAAATATATTCGCGAGGAAAGAAATGAAACGCTGGCATTGGTGAATATGGAATCAGTTATAGTGTCCCTAAATTAATGAGGAATAAAAATATAACGGGAAAGGAAAAGAAACTCGGTAACAGGCGCAAATGTGAGGATATTTTTACAAGAACTCTTATAATAATAAACTATTATGGTACAATAGTCAGTGACTTTTAACCGTGTAGTCTTAACTTGATGAGGAGAATTTGGCTCAGAGGAACATAAAATAGCGACGTGTTAGGGGAGAATATTGGTTGTGCATTGGAAGTCAACTATCATTATAAACTCTGTACCATCCACTCATGCACCAGAGGATTATTGTGTAGGATTATAAACATCCAGACCATAATTGTTACGAGTGTCCTGGAAGAACCCGTATATTCTGCTGAAGAAGCTGTGGCCTACACAGGGAAACGTTCAGAAATATCTTGTTGTGATTTTTCTAAACACGCTGAGATTATATTAAAATATATTCTTATAATGATTGTTGTATAGACTTTAGACAGACAAAACGCAAACAGGGATCATTCTGAAACCTGTAGCAATTCAACTACTCATTCACACAATGAACATATGTTAGTGAAAAACAAAGTGATCAAGAAGAATTAAATTCCTATGAATGTGCTTTTGAAGAAGTGCTAAATTAGAAATTTTTATCACAGGAGCGGAGTATTGGAAGTTTCAATGTATAAAAGTGAGCGTGAAGTAGGAACATTAGTAAAGGGAGCCACGACTAGGCTGTTCTCAGTAATACAACTAGACGTGTTCTAACTATGTTAGGAGTTTGGTGATTATACTTTTTTTTAGATAGTGATTATCCTACTACGATAATACAGGTCATACAACGGAGTAGAAACTGCTAGATACAGTTTTATCGGTTTCTTTTGTGAGGCATATATATCAAACAGACTGTAGATATAATATAAACTCTAAATCAAGTTTACAATCCGCTAAACTGCTACGAATGGATTAGGGAAGTATATTCCAGATAAAGCTCTAGAATGTAGTAGGAAATTTTGTCTGACTTGTTTGCTGTATGTCAGTCGTTAGTATAAATTTACGATTCCTAAGGTCATTAGGTGGGACATGTTTCCCAGCAGGTGAAGAAGTGTGTGAGACCATGTGAAATTTTATCATCTCAGAAACAACTTAGTTCTCATATACGTTTCCATACTGGTTCCATAGACAATATAGTGTATTAATATAAGAGTAAAACTTGTGCACTCGCGTATTATGCAGTCCCACTTTTATTGATTTATTAGATTTTTCACACGGTAACAGTATTGTTACGCTGATAAATCAAATAAACTAACAAAAATGAGATAAAGTATATCTGTCTATGTAGTCTACACTGCCGGTGCTACCCAATAATCTTCTGGTGAAACTTTGAACATTTTCCAGTCGTCATGTGTAAATATTGTTTATGTTAGATAATACGGACGAGCTGTATTCTAGTGTCGGTCTAAGACAAGCTTTTAAAAGAGCGAGTTTTGTCTCTGTAAAAACTTCAGAAGAAAACCTGTTAATCTTCTAGCTTCCGAGATGACAGTTGAGATGTGCTCAGTGGATTTAAGATTACTAGAATATTGAATGCCCAGGTTGCATACTTTATTAAGTGTTTGGGTTTCATACTCTTCTAAGCGCAGTACATTGCTAGGATAACTTTCCGAAGTAGAGTACCCCACATTCATCATGGTTGTAAACAAGCTGCCATTATGAAGTCTAGTTGAACTTCGAATATATTGAAACCACCCACCAGACTCAAGACAGTAAACAAAAGATTCATATCCCTTGGGAGCTTTTATTGAGTACCAAGAGATTTCTAGCATGCTGAAATCCCTGCAGATAATCTTACCTGAAAGTAACAGGGTCTGGGAACTTGAAAGCCTCTGACAACATTGTTATAGTCGGACTTGGAATTGGGAAGACAGTACACACAACAGAAGAGGAAGGACGGAGCTGACAGGCTTTTAAATAACGCACACAGCATCTTCATACACAGTCAAATATCTGTGATGTCGATCACAGTGGATGACAGTTGTGATTTCCAATACCAACTGCTTCGGTCTCTACACCCCTCTCTCTCTAATCATAATGTCAAATGATTTGGAATGCTCCCACTATCAGAACTGAACTCTTGATAGCCTGTCGGCAACCACACGCGCAAAACTCATCACGCCGATTACACATGCCCTGCGTGTCCGAAAGATGTGACAAATTACTCTCACAACCTACCATCTCGGACTCACCACGTCCACACGTGCAACATACACAGCAACATGTCATCCAGAGTTTACTTAATCTACCTGCTGACTCCCAGTTCCCTACTCTCACCTCAATCAATCGAAGTGCTAGACAACGCCTGTCCCGTCTACTCACACACAGTCGAATATATCTGATTCCAACAGTGGTGGATCAAGGCCAGCTTCCACGATGCCAGCTAAATCGCCATATACACAGCTGATATACCAATGTCGGATGTTCCAGAATCCAACCACGCATATTATTGTAGGTCTGATAGCCTGTGGTGGCTCAGATAACTAGAAGACAGGCTGATCACACATCCACTTCTGGTTGGTGAAGTTTTCGTCGCTTGAAAATAATTGTTCTTTTGTGGTCCTTTGATGTATGTTTTTATAATTGGTGGATGTATCTTACAATTTTTTTGGTGTTGTGTGTCTTTGTTGAGGGATTCATTTTGAGCAAAGTGTCTGCATCCGTTTTTCCCATTGTGTATTTCTTATAGCTTTTATCTTTGTAGTCGATTAAACTGATTTCAAATTGGTTGTTTATGAATATCTGTCGTATTTTGTCTAATGCAGTTTGGTAGGATGCGAATTGTATGCATTGAGTAGATTAGATGTTCTGGTGACGAACTTTGCGTATTACAATCATCTCGCTATACACACCTGCTTCAGCTTTCTAACAACCGAATGATGTCTCAGGATGGTAGTGACTGAACACGACTATTTCTGTAGCTTGGTCCTACTCACAGAGCTGGATTTTAAATTCTAAAGTATTTCACCGTGATTTCGATTGTACTCTACAACACATCAGGTGGCCCGACCGATAGCTGCTACCTTGACGTGATGGTCGGGCTTGTATATCACAATGACCCAACGAGCTATGCTGATGGAACACTTGTTCCCTCGAGGTCCTACCATACCAGAAAGGTTTGTTGGATAGTGGTTAGACGAAAAGCAGTTACTATTTTGGTGTAAATTACTACACTACTATGAGGGTCTGAGGGCGAAGTCGTACTACTGCTAGCTGGATGGGGTCTGACAGCAGTAGGGTGTTTCCCTTTTATGACTACCAGTGACATGCTGATGCTGCCTTCTCAGTGGAAGGGGGGTTTAGAAAAAGTCGTCCTCCAAAATAACACACTCCACTATAACCCATGGTCTACCGGGCTGGAGGTGTTGCTTCATTTGTCGTTTCTTTTTGACCATCCGGTCTCAAAACAACCATACACAAAACGGTGTGTGACAGGACTAAAGCAGATGTCCGATAGACACTGCGGTCACATAAATCTCGTTCAGGTGCCTTAAGAAGAAATAGCATTCCACGGCATGGGCAGCCGGAAAGTGTCAACCACCCTCACAACTCTGTCAGCACTCAAGTTTCTTCAGGCTGCTATCCACCTCCCTCATCATTACCTTCCGATCTTCCTTCATGTCTCTCAATTAACAATACTACATCATCTTCAATTTCTCCTAGCTCTCCAGCCTTCGACAACGATCTGAATCTAGAGAACAGCATCCCTGGTCTCCTTAAACTACTCTCCAAATTACACATAGGGGTCTTCGATGTCTGCACCCTCCGTCCGATTGGTCAACAGGCTTCATCGATCAAGACTCTAACAACTCGGGCCATGGATGTGTACTATGTTTGTGAGACTCGCATACAGGACCCAAGTGCGTTTTATTCACCTCACCTCACCACTCGCACCAATCTAGTGTGTCCGCGAAATTCACCCTTCGAGTTTCTGGAGATTCGATATCTAGCTCTTGCGGTCTTGTGAGTGTAGTCATAGCATTAAGTACAAGAGCAGAAAGCTCACAACTGGACTGGACCCCAGTTGATAGTTGCCTCTGCGCTGTCCAGCTAAACGGTACAGTGAGAACTAAAAAGAATTGTGAAACTCACTGTTGTCTCTTTGTAATCTGTGCTTGTGCACCCACTGACTGCAGTTCAGATGAAGTGAAGGACGAGTTCTACCGAAAACTTTCTAGCCTCCTTTCGAAAGCCAAACGTTCAGACGTAGTGTTGTTGGTTGTTGCAGGTGATTCTAATACACAGGTGTGGGTAGACTGAGTGAGGCAGAAAGGCATTTAGGTGGCACTTTCGGAGTCCCTGCTGAACGTACAGATAACGGTGATCGCCTACTACAACTATGCTCAGATAACCACCTATTTTCAGCTGGCACTAATTTCAGACACTGTCTGATGTGGCATCCACCCACCTCAACTCAGTGATGGACATAGATAGACCACATTGCTATCAGTCATCACTGAAGAGGATCGGTGGGAGACTGCTGCTCCTTCTGGAGTACGTGTTTGGACAGCAACCATGCGTTGGTCCGAGCGTGTATATGCCTGTCTCAATGGACGTAGGGAAATTTTGGCAACAAAACCACTACGAGTGCTGCTGGACAACGAAAACACCAAAGCCATGTCAATTGAAAAGTTGTCAAGGCAGTCATTGGAACAGAAGACTATCACTCATCCAGAAGAAGCTTGGTGCCATCTCCAGTCTGCTGTAAAAGCAGCACTCAAGACCATGAACGACGCCAAAAGAGCGGCTAAAAAGAGCCACTGTATATCAGCATCTTCTTCCGAACTAACGGATGCAGGTGAACACATCCTTGCAGGCTCTGAGTATAATGAAGAGTGAGCACAACTTAAAAGTAGGTTGAGAAAAGGTCTGCGCAACGACCGCGAACAGTGGTGGGTAGCGAAGGCTAAAGAGGTGGAAAAGGCAGCGGTGATTGGTAACAGTAGACAGTTATTTAGACTTATTAGGCAAACTGGAGGGAAAAGGTCAACAATGGTTAATGAGACCATAGTGGAGAAGGATGGGTCTGCGACTCACTCGCAGGGGAGACGACTGGAACGATGGGCAGAACACCTCTAGGAACAGTTTAAATGGCCTCTAGCCACCATTGCATCTCTCACTATCCAGTCGGATCCTGGATAAAAACATCGAGATAAGCCCCCCAACATTAGGGAAAGTCGAGAAAGCTGTAGGTAACTGGAAGCGAGGAAAGGCAGCAGGACCAGACGGACTAACTCCTGAGGTATACAAGTATGGTGGTAGTGCTCTTAGTCAGGTTAACGGAAGTGTTAACTAGTATATAGGGATCAAATACGATCCCCTCTGACTGGTCTAAATCACTGATTATTCCAGTCTTCAAGAAAGGCGAGAAGTCCTCTTGTGATAACCACAGGGGAATCAGCCTGACGAACATAGTGTCTAAGAATCTGGGTTTTATAATCATTAGACGCCTGAGTGGAGCTCGGGAACAGCAAACCTTGAGTGGCAATTTGAGAATGTTTGGATGCGTTTCTCACCACCCAAATACAAATTGTTGCTCCAGGATTGGTCTTCAACGGTGCCACGGCTAACAATAGAGAGCGTAGTGGTTGAGTGTGTCAACCACTTTACTAACCTGGGAAAGAGGATCAGCCCTGGTGGATCAGTGGTCGATGAAATCTCTGCACGAATACAAAAGGCTCGGCTAGCTTTTGCCAACTTACGCTACCTGCGGCGCCGTCATGATATCCGATTGTCTACTAAGGGTTGCGTGCACTGCACAGGAGTCTGCTCTGTTCTACTGTATGGCTGTGGAACGTGGCCATTGAAGGTGGAAGAGATGAGAAGGCTTCAGGTGTTTGACCACCGTTGTCTTAGTAGTATAGGCCGTATTCCGTGGTGACACCACGTGAGTAACGCAAAGTCAGATGTAGAGTTCTAGGGAAAAGAGGTAAGTCAGTTGACACAGTTGTGAACCTTCATCGACTGAGATGGTTGGGACACATATGTCTAGTCGCCGATTGCCTCGTTGCACAATGTTGGCTGAAGTAGGTTCAGGCTGGAAAAAGGCTCGAGGCGGTCAGACTAAAACATGATATCAATGTATGAAGTCTTTGACTGTTAGTTTGAGACATGTGGGGCGATGCAGACTAGCCGGTTCGGGTCCACGGGACAAGACAAACCAATGGTTGGAGACACTATATGATATGGCTCAGATGTATACACACATTATCCTCATCTTAACGCTTTACCGAATTTCACCATTTTCTCATTCTTCCTTTCTCTCACTTAGTACTTTATATTTCTGTTGACTGAATTTTCTTCTCTTCATCTCCCACTTCACTGCCTTTTTACTTGATGAATTGATATGAGCTGTGGCAACTCGGACCGTTATGCAGTAATGCCTGGAACTATGTTGATTTGGATGGATGGATGGACACAACACGCTGACCAGACATTTACCATGCTGGTGGCATATGACTAGTATCTCTGATTACGTAGCAGCCTCTTGTTTCGCAATATCCACTACACCAACATCTATGAGTGAACATCACTAAGGTTGTTACTCATCTGCGTGTTATCATGATCATTAAGTGATTCAGCTTTTGAGAAAAAATGAACGATACATTTCACACACAGTTCAATATAAGTGATTCCAATGCCAATGGATCATATCAACGGTCTCCAAAGCCACCTACTTCGCTCACAGTACTCCACATATGTGAATGAATCATGCCTATACATACCACCACGATTTTTATTGTATTTCCTATAGCCTATGAAGACTCATCCCAATACTGCGCGTCAGCTTGATCACTTATTCACCACACGAAGGCGCCAGTACGGTAACCGCCTGCCACAAACTGTCAACCTCCGATTCACCACAACCATACCACCAATTTCAATGACTTTTGCATCAACAGGATTACTTCTCATTTGAGTATGAAGACTGAGTTCTTATCTTCAAAACGAATCAAATAATCTACGTGCTATATGTGATACACAGTCGAAAACCAGTGATTCCTATGTTAATGGAACACATCCAGGATTTTCAAAGCCGTCTACTTCGCTACATATACTCGACAAATCTCAATATCAAATGTCTAAGTATTCCACCACGATTTCGATTGTACTTTCCGGAGCCTGTAATGACTCACACAATTACAACGTATTAGGCCATTTACACATTCACCGTTAGAAAGTGGAAGGTGTCAGATGCCTCTCACAACCCACTAGCCTCTGATTCACTACACTAATATTCACACTACCAGAGTATATAAGTTTCGTACCACGCAAAGTGTACCTTGTCCTCGTGTTGACTGACACGGTGGTTACCCGCTTCACGAAAGCAATCTACGAGTTCAAGATATTTGAGGCATCGCAATTCTTACACAGTGAAGTATCAGCTATTCCAATGCCAGTGGATCACATTTATGACTTGCGTAGCCAACTGCTTTGCTCTGTTTAATCCACAAATATAATGTCAGATGCATACGTATACCACCACGATTTTGACTGTAAGTAGGTAATACATGACTTGTACTATTGTAACACGTTACGTTTATCCTTGACCCTTATAAAGTAGCACGTTTCAAGTGTTTCTGTCTTTTTGTTATATTCATTTTTATTTTTATGAAGACTGAGGTTTATGCAGTACGGATACGAAGGATGTTGCTGAAAAGATGAAATAAGAATGCATGATTGAGAAGGCTAGGCATTTTTATTATGCAAATTAAACGTATACATTTTCACAGCGATAATGAGTTGAATATGAACAAATTTGCTTCTCAAAGAGGCATATTCGAATGTTTCTTCTTCCAGGGATTCTCCAACTCTTTAGTGGACAGTAATTTCAAGTCATTGCAGATGCGAATTCGTGTAAGTTGAGGGTATATTATGTCATCAACATAACCACGACTAGCTGCAGGAAATGGATTAGCAAAGGTCTTCATATAATCTTGTTCAGCCTGAATTTGATTTGCTTTTCCCCGAAAAAGAATTTGGACAGCTCCTTTTGCCCCCATAACTGCAACCTTTTTGAAAAAAATGAATAGTTTGTTGTGCTTCTATAATAACAGTGCTCAAAAATGCCTCTTCGTGATACGGAAAAGATTACTTTCAATTGAAACTGGAAGTTATTCTTGTGATATCATGAGATAAGGATCTATCTCTATCTCATCTATTCATCATGAATGGATTAAATCGGCTGACTAGGCTTCAAAGATCAAACCTTCGAAAATAGTTGGAATGTTGGGATCGAATCGATGTCTGCACATATTCATTTACTAAATACCGCTCTCATGTTAGTTTTAACACTAATTGTGTATCACGTTTATGCATAGACTATAATATCTATTTTTCGTACGAAAATCAAATGAAATATGCCATAGCAGATTTAAGAAATTCTCACAGCAACTCATCAATAGGTAACCTCAAACAAACTACGGCATATGTCCTATATTTCTAGCTGAACAAGTTTATTTTGTCAAGCATGAAAAGTAATACTCTATAACAACTGTCAGTTATTGAAATTGATTCTTTGCACTACCTAACCCGAACGAAATTGATGCAAGAAAAATGGAGGTATGACGTCTGGTGAATAACCCAGAAGCATATAGATTACGCTAATCTTATAGTCGAAAAAAATTAACAACTGTTACTGTGAAATTCCTTTATCAAATTGGTATTCATCATGGATTGATATCAGTTGGAGGAACAATGGAAACCTGGGAGCAGTGGACAGCTGTTTCGTCCTAGTATGAGACTCCCCAGCAGCGCGCAGCCATGGCCCCACCAGGGGTCGGATGCAGGACCTTCAGTTCCTGTGGCCAGCACGTTACCACTGAGCCACTGCATGGGAATTCAATGGTCCATATTTTCAACTCCTGCCAGTTCACAACATAGCACAACCATCAACCAACGTCGTCGCTGAGTACTTTTCCTGGTTACCATCGGGCCTGCCCTATCGGTTATGACTTCCCATTGGAACTTCAGGAATCATGGATGCACACTGCTGAGGAGTCCCATACTAGGATGAAACAGATATCCAGTACTCCCAGGTTTCCAATGTTCCTTCAACTGATGTCATTCCATGATGAATACCTGCTTGAGAAATCACTAAATTCCATGAATCCTCAAATGAGATTCTTTTAGTTACAAGCTTGCTATGCGAAAATGTCATTTAGTAAATGATACCTATTGATATCAAAGTCTCAACGGTTTAAGGGTACTTGCATTTAATAACAAAATGAAATGAACAAACGGATTAGGCTACTGATTCTTACAACAGATTATAGGGTTTTACTGATGTTTATTTTAAAGGTCCACGAAGTTGAACTCACCTCAGCAGTTGGCCACGCGTAATTTATGTCTCCACGTAAATGCTTTGAACTCATAACACAGTAAGCACCACCATACGACTTTCTGGTAATAACAGTAATTTTTGGAACAACGGCCTCAGCATAGGCAAATATCAGTTTTGCGCCATGTCTTATTATGCCTCCATATTCTTGGGTAGTACCAGGAAGAAAACCTGGAACATCGACTAAAGTTATCAGAGGAATATTAAATGCATCACAGAATCTAACAAAACGAGCAGCCTTGACAGAAGCATTTATGTCCAAACAACCTGCAGAAACTTTTGGTTGGTTGGCGACGATACCGACGCTCTGACCGCCCATTCTTGCGAAACCAACTATAACATTTTTGGCATATGACGGCATAATTTCGAAAAAATCACCTTCATCTATTATACTCTACTAAGAAGAGGAGAGAGCTGGAGTGTAAGCATTTTCATAGCACATAATCATTGAAAACAAAATTATTATTGTTATTATTACCACTGTTATTTATCGAAACGGAATAAACAAGTAAATTCAAATTAAACTACGATCCCTAGACATTAAATTAGAAAACTACTAGGTTATCAATCAGTTACTACTATTGCGTAACAGTCTCCTTTGGTGAAATGAAGGCATGCTCACACAATAAACAGAAATTGAGAGAACTCATGAAGTGGAACTGATCAACACAAAGACAGATACTTGCACGAATTCCGAAATATCTCACCAATATAACCGGCCTCTCAACTACAGGAATGAATGCAAATATCAAAACACTAACCGAAACCTATGAAAAGTAAAATCTATAATCAGTAAAATACATTAAACAATGTAGCACTAAGAGATTTCATCCACGTCACATCTCGGGAAGAATGGAATTAAGTACATTATTGTAAAACATAATGCATACATCTGTATATACAGCATTCTTACAGTCACAAGTATTGCGAGGACTATACTATGCCAAATACCAAGACAGAAGGAGGAGTATGAATTGAACTAAGAATTCATACTTGAAAATTGTTCGCCAGATAGTGACCCACATACCTGTCAACTCAGTGCTCACCACTAACCCCTGTCTATCCATCAATCTGACGATTTAGCCACCAAACTAAGTGACCTGATACTGAGATACAGTGCAGCTCCATATTACATACATGCCAAGTTTCAACGGGTAAAAACGTTTCAAGTGAGGTTTTGTGTTTGTTGATGCTAATCACGAAGGGACATTTGGAGCCATGAAGAAACTCATTTTACTTCAGTCGCATACTTGATTACTGCATTTTTCCGGACACCAACCACCACTCAAGTAAGTGGATATTTACCCGAACAGGTTGCCAAACGTTGACACATGAACCTGCCAAATCCTCTTTAGTTCCTAAGAGTTACATGCAATGTGTTTCCGCGCACCCTTACACTGTGCGAGCGGAATTTCAACCAGTTTTGGTCCTCTATCATTCTTGACTTTATTAAAAGCTTGAATGTTTATCGCTTTAGGACTTGAGAAAAATAAGCCGGTATTATGAAGCTCAAGGGCTTTCTAACCATCAGAAGAGAATCTGTTCGGTCGACGTATGGATGGATTTATCGATAAAAAACTGCGTTGTACGTAAGAGCAACAATAGTGGTAGGAAAATTACCTGAATAACGTCTGTCATATCGTAAGCAAGCGTAGGTTCAGAAGGAATCACTGAGTTAAGAGAGGGAACAGAACGGTCGATTGGGTCTTGACAGTCTTGCATAGGAGGCTTTTCTTTGTTACATGACGGTAAAACGTCAAAAATTTGCGAAGTGATAACAATGCTTCTATTTCGTTCTCAAATGCTCGATGAGCCACACCAGATACTGTTGTATGCATTCTGGCTCCTCCAAGTTCCTCCTGAAAGCGAAGAGTCGAAGCAAGTGCTACACACTAACGTATTTTATGAAAGTATAAATAAATTGTTAGAAACTTCTCATAACAGAAATAGAAACGTACTGCAGTATGGTATAAAAAACTTTGCATATAAGTTACCAATAAACCTATATGACACATTCAAGCCCGTATAATGAGATATGCAAATGCGAGTTTCTAATCAGTTTAAGAACACACAAACAACAATCACCACTTTAGCTTATTTAAAACCATTACATCTGAAAATACATGCTTATAAAAACTAATGTTCTCATTAGACTGACACAAGTAATCTGATTATCAAATAACGAATTCAAGCTACACAATTAAAAAAGCGAAATTAATGAGTCACGCATTAAAATAAGTTATATATCAGCAATAATCGAATAGTCAACTTTATAAATACTTTTCAGGTAATATTTTATCGACTTAATGATCCTGAAATTCCTGCTGTTCTGTAGGACAACACAGAACACGGTAACTCCAGAACTATCTCTAATGGAGTAATCTGTGGTTTGAAAAGAACGCAACATATCTAGTGCACTGATGTCGACCAAGCGATTGCAGCACAAATGTAACACAGCAGAAAGTAAGTAATACTAGAAAAGTCAAGGTATTTGTACAACCGGACGTAGAGCAAATACTTCTATAGATTTTGTTGACCAGTTTGTCTTTCTGAACGTTTAGCACTACATAGAGATGTCAACCTCATAAAAAGGAAAACGTCAGGCAAGTAAGAACTATCTACATACGAAAATAAAAGGCAATTTGAAACGGAAGTATTGGAAGGCAGTTGCCGGAAGAGACGACACAAATGAAGAAATTATCCGAATAAAATCTTATTTATACTGAAATATATAGCTTCAAAGGCACGTACCTGCGAAACGTTCTCATTTGTGACAGATTTTACAACGTCTGGCCCAGTTATGAAAAGGTAGGACGTATCTTGAACCATAAAAATGAAGTCGGTTAGTGCAGGCGAGTACACAGCACCACCAGCACACGGACCCAAAATAAGAGATATCTGTGGAATCACGCCTGAAGCATTCACGTTGCGATGAAAAATGTCAGCGTAACCTGCCAGAGAGGCGACACCTTCTTGAATACGAGCACCACCAGAGTCATTCAACCCAATGACTGGGGCGCCAACTAATATTGCTTGGTCCATGATTTTACATATTTTCCGAGAATGAACAAGACTTAAGCTACCACCAAAAACAGTGAAATCCTGGCTGAAATAGTAAATGCATAAATAGATTCTCAAAAGTTTTGATTGAATATGTAGTTTACAGGAAAACGTTTTACCATAGCGTTATATCAAAAGGTGTAAACAAGAAGCCTTACTCTTTACACGATACGACTAACAAACAAGTATACTACCAACAAACTAGAGTAGACATTCCAAACAAGATATTTTTTTGTTGAAAACCACCCAATATAAGACTTATCTCAATCGGGTTACAGGAATTGTTCTCACTAAAAACTGTTTTTTCTCCTTATTATCGATCATTCAATATATATATATATTATATATATATATATATATATATATATATATATATATATATATATATATATATATATATATATATATATATATATATATATAACATTGTTATTTATATGAACAAGGGTGTGCAGCGACTAGAAAAATTGATGAAGCAGCAACTGAAGATGATGGAACTGCTTGTTGGTCTGCGCGTCACTCTATGTACGTCCACCCCATTTTATTCGGGTTGATAAAATTGGATCCAGTATTTCGGAGTTTATATACAATCCAGATGCCAACATCACTTTTGATACATGGTTTCGACGACAGGAAGACCTCTTCAAAGTTGGTTTTGCGAATCAAGACGACGAATGGAAAGTTAGACTTCTACTCCGAAAGCTTCGTCCAGATGAGTTGGATAAATATTGTAATTTTATCCTTCCACAGAACCCAAGCGACAGAACATTTGATGAAACAGTAGAAACACTACAGTAGCAGTTTGGAGAACATCGTTCACTCTCCAATGCTCGCTAACTTTGCATGAAGCTGGTAATCAATGAAGCTGATGACATCCATACCAAGCTTTGGATTGTGAATAGAGTATGTGAACGATTCAAGTTGAAGTCGCTAACAGACGAACAATTCAAAGTACTCATATTTATTTGTGCTCTTCAGTCCCCGAAATTCGCGGATATATGCATGCGCCTGCTATATCGTCTGGAGCAAGACCCGAAGCTGACAATGAAAAATATTGGTGAGGAATATCAGCGATTAACTAATGTACGTCAAGATACCACCCTGATACGGAAGTGCATGCTATAAAATACCCACTATGCACACCCAGATCTACATCAGGCGATGTAACACGCCGCCCTACAAACAGTACCCATCAAAAACCACCATCCGCATGTTGGAGCTTGGCACTATGTAAAATCCTGCCCTTCAGACAACATAAGTATCGTTATTGTCATACGGTGGGGCATAAAGATGGGTTTTGCCGCTAGCCAAGTTTAACTAACAGGCAAAGAAGCTTATCTCGACGTCCATCTACACCAAGATCCAACAGCATCACGGCAACTTTTCATATCAGTAGCTCAGTACAGCGGAAGTACATAACGCTCAACATAAATGGTCAACCTGCATGTCTCCAACTAGATACAGCATCTGATATCACAGTGATTTCCCGGGAATAACAGTCCAGTTTTGGTCAGCCAAAAATGTTGACAACGAGACAAGCAGCTATCACCGCATGTGGTGGTAAGCTTCAACTGGTGAATCAATTACACTGCTGTGTTTCATTTAGAAATACAACTTTTGATGGAGTTTGCCATATTACGGATGTTAATCTCAACCTATTGGGTCTCGACTTGTTCGAGAGTTTGAAACTCGCCAACCTTCCATTGAATGTGGTCTGCAATAAGGTGGAAGCTCTGTCAGATGTCCTAACGAACCTTAACGCCGTTATTAATGAATACTTAGATGTATTCCAACCTCGGTCACTGTATCACAACCAAAGCCATCCTATTCCTGAAACCAAATACATCACCTGTTTTTCGTCCTAGAAGGCTCGTCTCATATGCATCGCTACCTCTCGTCGAGGCAGAGCTGAAACGACTTCAGGAACAGGATTTCATTACTCCAGCATCCCATTATTCTTGGGCTGATCCAGTCGTCATAAAGAAAGGTAATGGCTCCATCCGACTACAGGTTTAAATGCTGCTTTGGAGCAACACCATTACGCCTTACCTGTTCCAGATGATTTATTTACCACTCTAAATGGAGGGAAACGTTTCGCAAAAATCGATCTGGCGGATGCATATTTACAAGTCAAAGTTTCTCCAGAATGTCGTGAACTACTATCAATACCCATCGAGGTCTTTTCCAATACAATCATCTACCATTTGGCATTAGGACTGTCCCCGCTATTTTTCAACAGATCATGGATACCATGCTAGCAGGTATACCAGGTGTCGCTGCATACCTCGAGGACGTCCTAAAAGTTGCCACCTGTTTAGCGGAATTAACGAATCGAATACGGTTGGTCCTACAGCGAATCCAAGACAACGGCCTTCGACTTAGAAAGGAGAAATGTCGATTCTTTCCAAGTTCAGTAAAATATTTAGGCTTCATCTCTGATGCATCTGGTAGACGTCCCGATCCTGAAAACACTGGCGCAATACAGCAGATGCCCACTCCAACAGGTGTCGCGACTCTCCGATTCTTCCTTGGTCTCGTCAGTTACTATTCGGCGTTCCTGTCCTGTCTACATGATATACGGGAAACGTTGGATCGTCTCCTATGCAAGAACGCCGCGTGGTCCTGGTCAAGAGAATGTGAAACTGCTATAGAACGACTAAAGTCCACTCTCAGCAATGACCTGTTGTTAACACATTACGACCCACAGCTACCAATCATTGTTGCCGCAGATGCTTCCACCGCTGGTGTTGGGGCTGTCCTATAACGCGAATATCCGAATGGTTTACAAAAAGCTGTCATGCATGCATCTCGATCACTCACGTCAGCAGAAAAACGCTATTCACAGATAGAGAAAGAAAAACTTGCCTTAGTTTTCGCGGTCAGATGCTTTCACAAGATGTTGTATGGACAGAAATTCACCTTGTTCACCGATCACAAGCCCATCCTCCCAACCTTTGGGTCAAAACGCGGTGTTCCAGCTCATTCCACCAACAGACTTCAGCGGCGGGCGATAACATTATTGGGCAATGATTTCGATACTGAATATCGCCGAACAGAAGACCTTTGACATGCAGATGCACTTTCAAGGCTTATAAGTGAGTATCCTACACCTGACGAAGACACAGTGATCGCATTAGTATCCACAAAGGATTATGCAGTCCGCGCACTTCCTGTCACGTCGGCTCAAGTGGCATATCATACAGAAAGTCATGGATTATGTCCAGACGAAATGGCCACAAAATCATTTACCGGTGACCTGAAACAACTGTTCTGCAGAAGAGAATCGTCGGCAATTGCCTCATGTTCGGAGAACGTGTAGTGATCCCTCAGTCTCTTCGTGCAAAAGTCCTAAAACAGTTTCACACTGGCCATCCAGGAATAGAACGTATGAAAGCCATAACTAGAAGCTATGCTTATTGGCCCAATATGCATCCTCATATAGCTGAATTTGTCAGTCGCTGCGCATCATGTCAGAAGGCAGGTAAGTATCCTCCACGTCTTCCATCAGAGTTAGCCATTGCCGGATCGACCGTGGGCTAATATCTACATTGATTTCGCAGGTCCATTGCATGGAACCTGCTATCTGATTGTTGTTGATACTTATTCGAAGTGGCCGGAGATCGTTGCAATACAGCCCATATCATCACACAGAACAATCACTGCTCTTAAAAATATTTTCATCTGCCATGAGTTACCCGAGACCATTGTTTTATATAATGGGTCACAATTCGCCTCCCGTGAGTTTTCAGTTTGAATGCAATCCATCCATCATATTCGTACACCACCGTACCACCCGCAACCCAATAGCCAGGCAGAAAGATTTGTTGGTACCTTTAAGCGAGCTCTCCTCAAAGCAGAAAGATGAGGAGGAGACACGGATGTCATACAGCAATTTCTATTCACCTATCGCTCAACACCAAATGATGCCCTACCAGATCGAAAATCTCCCGCAGACGTTTTAATGGGAAGGAAGCTACGTACGCCACACCACGCAATGCTACCATCACGTCGTACACAAATAACGCAAACATTTGGACCACACTTCAATAAGGGAGACTCCGTCTACGTATGAGATTACAGACCAGGAAATGGCATGTGGACGCAAGGTGTTGTTATGAGAAGACATGGGAGAGTGATGTACAATATGAAGATGGGTCAAGAGAAATGGGGGAGACACAAGAATTAGATGCGTCACAAAAAAGCCAACCAAGCAGGGAATCCAACCATACCACTTGATATTCTACTGGATACGTTTAATTTACTAACGACGATGTCAAAAGCCTCGATCCAGAAGATATGCGGATCAGAAGCGGTCTCAAACAGTTCGTTCCCAACTGGATCCCAAAAAGCAGTATTAATTATTTATTCTTAAAAGGGGAGGTGTTGTAAGGCCCCAGCTTTGCATAAAACATTGTTATTTATCTGGACATTTCTTAACTTGTCATTTTCACACAATTTTTACAGCATGACTAGCAGTTTATTTTCTGCCCCCATTTGTAATGTAATTCGCTGATTGGTTAATCCTTACTCTTACCATGTCAATATCTCAAATTACGGACAAAGTCATATTTCATGTGTATACATTTTACTGTGTTTTTGAATCAATTAATTGATTATTATTCTCGAAGGTATAAACTCTCCCACCCAGCTTCAGTTTTCTCTCTATATGTCACGGGTTGCAGTCAGTGGCTTTTGCGTATGAAGTCAGCTGTCAGTTAAGCGTATGCATTATAACCGTTCGGAATATAACATAAATATACCAGCGGATGCACGAGAGCTAGCTACTGGGTCTCCGGATACTCGTTAGGTAAATTTTGAAGATTCATTGCCATGGTCAGGTGAGGTCAATTTAATAACCTTACTCGGGTTATGCGTATATCAGATACACAGCGTATATCCAAGGCTTGAGATTCCAGAGTTCTGGCGAGCGATGCCTATTGTCCAATTTGGCATAGAGTTCGGACGTTGAAGGTTGCTACATGAAATCGATGAGGGGGGGTCTTAGGAGACTAGGAATGAGGTTTGAATCGTTTGATCGTCCGTAATGGTTGCAGAGTGAAAGGTTGGGTATGGCGCAAGTGGCTTAATATTAGTACTAGGAAGTGAAGGCAAAGGAAGAGACAGAATTGAGGAGGATACGTTACGTTGATTGGGTCTTGCAACCTACTGGAAGCGTAGGGGCAGTTGACACTTCCCGGCTGCCCACACCGTGGAAGGCTATTTGTCCTTAAGGTAGCTGAAGGAGAAAAAGATTTGTGCGACCGGTGAGCCCATGGGACATCTGCTTGAGGCCTATCACAATCGGCCATTTGGCAATTTGGTGTTTTGCTTTTGAATACAACGATGAACCCCTGTTTCAAGCATCGGCAAGCCGCGAGAGGATGAAGCGTGTTATTTTGGAGGCCGAATTTTCTTAACCCCCACCTCCCCTTTGGGAAGGCAGCATCAGCACGCACTGTTGGTTATCCAAGGGAAACACTTCACTGCTGTCACACCCCATCTAGTCAGCAGTGCGACTTTGCCCTCCGACCCCCATCCATAAGGTAGCAATTTACACCATAACGGTAGCTGCTCTTCGTTTTACAAACAGACCTTCCTGGTATGGTAGAACCTCCTCGGAAGAAGTGTTCCACCAGCATAGCTCGCTGAGTCATTGTGATATGCAAGCCTGACCATCACGTCAAGGTAGCAGCTATCGGTCGAGTTCAGCCACCTCTGCATCGAAATTGGCGTCTACATCAGTTATAACCGGTTTTTTGGCTTCCAGTATGTGGTAGGCGATTGTCTGTAGAAGCGTTGCTTTACTTCATCTGAGCTGCAACTAGAAGGTGCCTCGACAGAGACTGCGAAGAAACAATGGCGAATTCTATCATTTGTTTTAGTCCACATTGTACAGTTCAGTCAAACACATAACAGGTTACTGTCAACTGAAATCCAGTTCAACAATTTACATTTTACTTTAGCACATAATCTTTTTATTTACCTGCAGGACCATAAGAAGTAGCCATCAAATCTTCAGAAAACACGAACAGTGAATTTGTGAATTCACCATATTGGCGGACTTCGGTTAAGGCAATAATTACACTTGGTTCCTGTATGTATGTTTCACAAACACAGAAATTACCCGTGGCTAGCGAAGGTTATTGGCCAACTCAATTGAGAGTGTGGGCATGAAAATCCCTAATATGTATTTCGGAGAGTAGTTTCAGAAGACCAGGAATGCTATTCTGAGAACTTGAATAGTAATAGTAAGATGCAGAGCTACGATAAATTAAAGATGATGTAGGAATATTGATCAAGATATGTTAAGAAAGATTAGAAGGTATTAATGTGGAAGGTTGACACTTACCTGAAGGAAATTGAGTCCTGACAAAGTTGTCGGCAGCCGATACTACCCGACTGCGGATACCATAGAAGGCCATTTCTTCTTGATACACATGAAAGTGAAGGATAAGCGTGTGGTCATAGAGTCCAAGGGACACCCGCCTGAGCCCGGTCACATGCAGCCTTTTTAGAAGTTCGAGATTTTAGCCTACTTCTAATTCAACTATGAACCCATATCGCTGCGACCGGTATACTTCAGGGTCGAAAATCGAAGTGCACTCAATAACCTTGTGCACATTAGTGCAGTAGGTGGTGAGCCGCACCTACAGAGTGAGAGCTAATAATATAACCTGGCTGTCCATACCTAAGTAGGTGGAGCTGGGTTTCAACCCGTGACCCCCAAGTTGAAAATTAACTACCTAAACCAATAAGCCATAGCTCCACTGTGCCGTAGAGAAGAGGAGAACGTGCTATTTCCAGGGATGACCATTTCTAAGGCCGTCATCTAGTAACAAAGAATAAGTATGGTACTGCTGGTCATCCACATGGGCGGAAAATACCTCACTAGTGTCACATCCCCATCTAGCCAACAGTATGACTTCGCCCTCGGACCCCCATCAGTGTAGCAGCTTACACTATCAAACAGACCTGTCCGATATGGTAGGACCTCGAGGGAACTAGTGTTTCACCAGCATAGCTCGTTGGATCATTGTGATATCCAAGCCTGACCACCACGTCAAGATAGCAGCTGTCGGTAGGGGAAACGGAGACCTCCAAAGGGACGTTCACACAAAACCTAGGCAGGAATGGAGGGTGAAAATCCTTGATGGACACCAGTCGATGTACACAAATCATCTAGTACCTAACTATATGTCCCAACGTTTACCCAGCATGCCTTTTAGCGAGAGTCAAAACCGTAAGGTTTTCAGTCAATGAAGTCGGTGCCACCACAGGCATGAAGAAGCACACTGTCTCCTGGATCAATTATTACTTAACTTACCTTTACTAAACCAGACATGAAATAAGAATTATCGATATGCAAGCGGTCGAGTTGAGGAACTGCTTTCTTAGAGTTCAGTACAACACAGACACTAGCAAAACCGAAAACGATGCTAGAGAGTTAAGTGGAAGGAGTAAATGAAACATACTTTTCGAGTAGATAGATGAAATAACTCGAAGGAAACGAAAACCGAACGCACTCAGCCACCTTATGCAGATTCGTGCAGTAGGCAATGAACCAAACTTATTGTGTGAAGGCTAATTATATTACCTGGTTGTCCAAACTCCGGTGGATGGGGCGGCTTCGAACCCATGGCCCACTGGTTGGAAGTCATCTCCCCAAACCACTAAGCCACAGATTAATGAAGTTATTCGAGGAACTTAGCTGAAGTCTCCTATGTGGGTCTCAGAGTTAGCTAGACAACTTATTTGTGACTTTTTGTCTTCCAATGGTAATGATGAGATAAGTGTTCAACTTAGGTTAAAAGGTTTCAAATGATGTGGCAAGCATGAGACAAACATTATTTATCTTACTGTTACTTTTAAATTAATTGTACAATATAGTAAGGTACTAAAGTAGGGACTGTAGTCATTTATCATCGTATCACCAAAATGTTAACTCATCAAAGGCATTAAATGAGGAAACGTTATCACCCACTGTCTTCACGTTAAGTTTAGAACAGATGAACTTTGCTCACCTAAATAAATAAACTGTACGTCCATTGACTCGACAACGACCAGTGACGACACTATCACAAGGAACTTTTTGCATCTCCATACCAAAGTGATGACAGTCATGCTCTACGAAAGCGTCGTATTCGACAAAACTTTCAGCATCTGCCAGTAGTTCAATGCGTTCCCGAGCTGTGAGTTTTCCACGTTTATGTTGAGCTTCTACACGCCTTTCACCACCTCCAAGGAGAATCTTTTTACGAGTTTCTTTGAGTTTTTGTCCAATACTTAAAGTATTTACGACGTCAGCTGTGCCCCTGATACTTGAATTCCTCAACAAAGATCCAAATTTACATGGAAAACGGAGGAGACAGGGCATCTCTAAAGACAAGATGAATTCAAAAATAAGGGGTCCTTAAAAAAAAATAACTAGTTATTGTAACTATTTGAGATGATTAATATTAAATCATACCTGACACTACTGCACAGATGCTTAGCTTGCTATAACTTATCTCACCATTTACAAAGATAATGATAAAAACATATAACTAAAAGTTGTAGAAAGCCATCATAAAAAAGAAGAGGGGACGGAGCAAATATGAAAATGTGACAAATAGACAAAATCAATGTACAACTTCACACACAAATGCATCGGTTCAAGTTGCCACATTCCACAGTAGTACATAGAGAACAGGTTGACAGAAAAAGTGATATCAAAGTAGTGTAAGAGAATAAACTATCTGAAGAAAAAGGTTAATGCGAATATTCAAGCTTCAGATGTGAATGAATGAATACGTCTGCACCAATGTAACTAACTTCCAGTCACGCCATCAAAATTCCTCAAACACTGATTCCTATCATTTAGGGGAACTCAACCATGCAGTCTGCATCTCCCTATACTGTTCAGGCCAACAGTAAGAGACTTCATCGACTGGTGCCACGTCTCGGTCTCAGCACCCTGAGCCCGCTTCCTATCTAATCCAGTTTCCCCTAGCATAGAACATCGAGGTAGGTTGTGGATCCGCACACCCAAGTCACCTCAGACAATGAAGGTTTACAATCTCATCAATCGACTTGCTTAGTACCCTTCAACTGACCTCAACATTGTTCACACGGTGATTCCGCCAAACGTGAACAATACTGAGAAGATACCTATGATCGGTACTTTGTAATCGCTTCATATCTTCTACTTTCAACGGACATGCCTCACAGACATGTAACAGGATAAAACGGACTCCAGCACACCATACTCGTAGTTTCATAGATAAGGGGATATCTCGTCAACACCGGAGATGAAGCAAGTTGGCAAATGCCGATCAGGTCTTCTGTATCCCAGCTGAGATTTCGTCAGCAACCAGTCCATTCGGGCTGACACAACTCCCCAATTAAGTGAAGTGGTCGACATATTTCACCACCTCACTCCCTACCATTAAACTGGTAGTCATTACAGACTAGTCTTGGAGCATCATCTTAAATTTGTCAGGTGCCAGTGAGATGCATGTCAAACATACGCAGATTTCTGCTCAATGCGCTCAGAAGACCCTGCATTTTGTCAGCGTCTTCACCCAACAGGACAATGTCGTCTGCATACTCCAAGTCACCTAGATGACCTCCAGGGAGCATATCAATCCCCTTGAAATCAGATGCATCTAAGGTTGTGTCAAGTGGTACGTCAATAACGAAGCTAAAACGGAACAGTGAAGGTGGACATCCCTGGCGGACACCACTAGCTGTCGTCAATTGACATGACAACTCTCTGTTAGCCCTTAGGCAACTGCATGAGTTCGAGTAGAGAGCTTTGATAAGCATTAGATTCTTGCTTGGTACTTCTTTCCCAGTCAGATACTGCCACAACACCTTCGGGTTGACAGAGTCAAATGCCACCTTCAGGTCAAGAAATACAGCTAGTGTTAGAAGGAAATATGAAATGCCAGATAAGAAAAAGATAAGGTGAATATGCGTCCGCTGAAATTTATTTTTAGTTACGTCATTTGGAGTCACTAACCTCAAATCCAACTAAGAAACTTAAATTTCTCAGTAAAACTAAGAAAGTCAAAAACGTCATGGGCAGATGACATATTTCAGTCCTTACATTTTTGACTTTTTAAAATAAACTTTAACTCAGCTAAAACAGTGCATTAAGGCAGACTGGGAATCGTTGCATAAAAGACTGTTTAATTACCTTAAAAAATGGAGTACAATTTAACCAACTCATTAAAATTTTTGTCTAAAGCCAATTTCTAGATCCAAATTTTCTCCAGTGGTTGTTTTATGATACACCATAGAAGTTATTAAGGTAGTGACTGAATATTTGTGACCTTATTTTCTCCCTCTTTAATAACTATGTTTCACTACAACAAACATTCTTTCCAAGTAAGCCAATAAAATTTAGATACCATCTGGCAAAAATCTCTCCCAACATTTACAAATGGACAGGATTTTAAGTCAGGAAAAATTACCCGAACATTCATGTAACCTGTTAACATTCCTCACTTAATTGTGGCAGCACTGATACTGTCTGTCATTAAGTGTGGCGAGGAGTATTACATGGCCCGGAGAAAATTGCCAGGCGTATATTTCAATAAAACAGTTAAAATTCCAATCAATCTACAGAGTCAAACAACAAATATAACGCAAGAAATAGAAGTCAGGACCAGAACCAAATAGGCGTGCTTGTGCTCCAAAACGTGATGAAAGATATGATCCCCATCGGTCACCAAAATCTGATACTTGCCTAGTTTACTCGGGGTTCACCATCCTTGTTCGGCACTGCATATCCACAGTATGTACAACCAGGGACAGATTGATTCGCCTGTGAATATCACATCGGCATTTTCTGAAAACTCGGACACTCAGCAGTAAGACTAGTCAGACAGTATTACATTCGACTCCCTATGCGCCAGCTTACACTTTAGTTAGGCTCACCAAAAATCTTCGACCATCATTCTCAAATAACTCTGTTAGTTAGTCGGATGCAATGAGCAGGAAGCCCTGGACTCGGATGTGTTTAGTGCTTGTTGGTATTCGTCAGCAAGGCGTGTCTGCAACCTCGATGAAAACTGATGTCTTCTCTGAGATTTCAACCCACGCCACTCGGTGCTGTGGTCAGAGATGTTACCACTAAGCTATTCGGACCACGACTGGCCTCCTGTAGGACTGGAATGGATACAGTGATTGGTCACTGGAGGTGAACCAATTTCATGTTGTCTAGTCATGAGTGCTGAAAGAATCCTATCAATAGCACTCAGAAATAAGCATGAAATTGGTTGCTCCTCTGTAACCTATTAACATACCAAACAACTCTGCTGTGAACCCATCGGAACCCACTGCTGTCCACTTCCCACCTCCTGCGAGAGTTGGAGGTTTTATCGCAATGTTTTGTTCAAACTTTGAGCAGATACTGGGCGACCGGAAAGAAGCAGGATGTCAGTTGAGCTGAACCTCAGTATTTTACTCGTTGTTTAGTGTGAGAGGACTGTATACTCATCTTCCTCTTCTACAGTTTTACTAACCACAGACATTTACACCCGTTTCGTCAGGAAATTTAGCTAACTCCATTACCTTTAATCTATCACCTCTACCTTTTCTATCTCGTAAGCTTTTGTTGTCCACATGTTTATGGTCATCACAATGGCTCCTTGTCAGTCCACATAAGCGCTGCTTTGATCTACTACTTCATCCGACGTGCAGTTAGTAGGTTCGTTAGATGTGAAAAAGGCACAACGGCGTGTATCACTATTTGTTTTAGTTCTTAATGTACCACTGAATCATATCCATGTGATATGATCATGAGCAATAATTTATGCTCGAAACGTCACCAAGTTGCAGCGCCACACATTGCTCCAAAATCAATAGCCTATGGTTCGACGAGATTCGACATTGATGGTCCTACTGCGAACTTCGCAGACGCAGAGGCCAATCACTAATTATTCGAACGTTATACACCTACGAATACGAGACCAAGAAAGAACACAATAGAGTAGTCGGATGGAATAGTATATTGCGAGGTTGTAATAAGATATCGGTGCGTTCCAACTAACTGGCTACAGGGTTGATTACGAGCAGTGCAACGTAACACGACAGCGCGTCAAAATGACGAGGATGCTTGATCGGATGCCTTCAGCTTAACGAGTCCAGTTGAACTATGAAAGACAGCATCAATGTTGCATCTCAGCAAACCCTAGGCTACCTATTCTGGAGAAATGTGTGACGCTACAGATCACTCCCCCCCCCTAGTGGGTTCGTGAGGACCCTAAGATAATACCAGCCAGATTAAAAACCCAGTGGTTTCTCCACTGATAAAACTCTTCCGATGGGCTCACTGAGAGAAGTGGCCCCTGGTTGTCCGAACTTATTCCAGAGTATTGTGGCGAATGGAAAAATAGAATACAACACATCGGATTGTACATCGATAGCGATCTTCAGTGTCCTTTGACGCTCCGTTCAGTGTTCGTTGCACCTGGAATATAAATAAAAGTCTTTAATATCACGAAAACATTTCGTAAAAGTGGGAAACATTTATATACAAATACATCGAAATAAATTTTATGCTTATTTCCATTTTTTGGAAAAAGTTTCATTACGTGGTAGTTAAAAATTGATATAAAAAGGTAAAATGTAGGAGGATTTTCGTATTCCCGGTAAGTAAAAAAATGGTGCCCCGAAGAAAATAGTTGGCACATTTTATTTCACACTACTTAGTTGAATATGACTAAATACTCTGGAAACCTGACGGTTTGACCTGATCGTGTTCTTGCTGTGCCGGTGGTTGTCAAGTCTATGCTCTACCAAGCACATCGTCAAGAACTTCGATAATTGGGCTCTCCGCCGGTCGGCTACAGTGAGTTGAAACGTTACTTATGATGGGGTTGCCTTCGGAATATGATGGCTTCAAACGTCCAATACTAACAATATCTTCACGTCAGTTTCGCTCGAGTATATAGAATTTCTCGTGCCACTTGATCACTTTGAATGACCCATCGTAAGGTTGTTCAAGTGGTCGATGAACGGCATCGTGGCGAATGAACACGTGTGATGTCTTTTGTAAAACGGGGTGAACGAATACATCAGTCGTTTGAGGTCTAACAGGAGTAGGCCTAGCTGAACGCATTGCGTTTGTAAGCCTAGTCACGTAAGATGCCCTGTCGGAAACATGTTGGAAAGCTGAAGGGGAAACAAACTCACCTGGTAGGTGAAGAGTAGTCCCATACACGAGTTCTGCAGAGATCCATCCAGCATCAGCTTTCAACGCGTTACGAATACCCAGTAGGACTAGATGCAGAGCCTTGGTCCACTGAGGTACGTTTGAAGCTGAAAGCTTCCCTTTCAGCTGCCGATGGAAACGTTACACCATGCCATTGGCTTGTAGATGGTAGGCTG